CAGGGAGGATGGACGAGAACACCACTTGCGCTCCGAATTCTTGGATCCTTCTTCCCAGCGCTACATAATCTGCAGTAACCCGCTCAAGGTCATTCTTGGCTGTATCATTAGTTCCCACGTGGAGAAGCAGGAAGGGGTAGCGATCTGAAGGTTTGATCAGCTTGGTAAGCCTCTCAGTGATATCCTGAATGCGAGCTCCCGGTAAGCAGCACACCTCACGAGTCCAGGTCCAGACGGCAGAGGGATGGCTCAGTCCCTCTTAGGAGGGAGTCCCCAACCACCACCACCTGTTGTTTTCTTGCGAGCTCCCGGTAAGCAGCACACCTCACATGACAGTTTTTTGACTGTAAACTATATAACTTTTTGATGGAATAAACTACAGAAAGATTAAAGTCATTTGTGTAGTTATTTTTCACATGCCTGCTGTTTGGTATGAAATAAATCTGCATCCCATGCCTTCCAGTAGATGGTGTTCCCTTCTGGTTTCTTCCTTGTGAGGTCCCTTCCAAAGCGTTTAGCACTGTAGAGCCTGTGGAGAGAGCTTGAAAGCGATTACTTACCTCTATAGCATTGGCGGATTCCCGTGTTGGCCTTTTTCCCCTTCTAGAAGTTACATGCTGCCAGTTCTCTTCTTGGTCACATACTGCCCTCTCTGGCTCCTCTGCCTGCTGTGCTTGAAGGATTAAACACTGCCTTCTATCGATGAAGTCTTCATCGTCTCTGATCGAGCGTAGAGTCAACACTTGGGCCTCCAGTCCTCTAATTTTTTCTTCCAAAATGTTGACCAGCTTGCACTTCGTGCAGATGAAATCTGTTCTTTCTTCTGGGAGGAAGACAAACATGGCACATGCTGTGCAGGTAACAGCAGCAGCCCCATCACCATCCATCGCTGCTGTCCTGGAGAAGGGATTTAAAAAGAAAGGCAAGAGAACCTCACGCCCTTCTCTCTCCCCTTCCCAACTCCCTCTCTAAACTCCCTGTTAGCACTCACTTGATCGCTTGCCCACTACTTTATAAAGCCCTGGAGTGCCTGAAAGTCCCTCCCCCTACCAAGACTCAGCCAATCAGCAGAGGCTTCTAGACTTCAGACTTTAATTAGAAGCTAACAGTTTCCACCTGCCAATCACAGCCAATCACAGCACAAACTCCAGCAAGGGGAGTGGGAGGGCAAAGGGGAAGTGGGGGGGGGGAAAAAAGCCTCACTCACAAATACAGGGTCACCTGTGATTGGTTGTTATGAAATGTTGACTATATTCTTAAAAGAATTTGGAAATATTCGTGAGACATGATGTAAACTTTTTTCTAGGCAAAACGGGAGAAGCATTGGACACCAAGTTCTTCGACATGTGGGGAGGAGGTAATTGTGAACTGTTTCTTGTTTAAAAATAATTTTGAGTGGCAAAAAAAAGCTTCTGATTCTATTTTAATTGTTTGAATTGAGCAGTTATGTAATCATTTTATGACTATAGCGGTATAGAAAAAGAGAGGACAGGTAAATGGAAGCACAAATGTCTTCTTTTATCTTCACATGCACATGAAGGCATTTGCCCTCCTGAACAATTATTCTCCTACTGGCAATTCTGACAGCAGGCAGAAGAGACCATCTGTGCCAAAATGGCATGTAAACTGTAGTAGGTAAAGGTTATTGTAGTTCTAATAAATCTATTTCCTAAATGACTAACACACAGCTCTTCTGTTATATAATTTTGGGGTTTTTTTTCCCTCCACTAGATTTATTTGGTTTTGAGTACTTTCCCAATGTGGGCTACTGTAGTTGCCGTTTATTGCTGCTATTTTGAATTTTAATGAAAACACACATCACTTATTTTGTTATACAAAATAGATAAAACTGCAGCTTTAAAAGAAGGAATAGTTTATCTAATGCTTTAATCATCTTTTTCCCATTTCATTTCTTTGAATCCATTTATGACTATATGTATAAGGAATTCCTCAACGTAGAATTAGCATTATTATTGGTAGGGTAATTGCATTGTGGTAAATCCGTGCATTCTGTCTCTATTCAGATGTGGCACCATTTATTGATTTCCTGAAGTCCATTCAAGATGGAACTATAGTGTTAATGGGAACCTATGATGATGGTGCAACCAAGTATGTATTGACCAAATATAGTAAATTTTGCTTACCTTACATTTTTAAATGCAGATTGGACCTCTCTTAACCGGGATGCTTATTGGGTGATGCTTACAGGCTGTGGGCAGGAGCACTCCAACCTGGCGGGAGCAGCCCCTGCCTATGGAGGGCCTGGCTCAGCCGGAGTAGCGTGCTGTGGGCATGGGCACTCCAATCCAGCTATAGCAGCCCCTGCCAACCCCCATTTAAGTTAACTAGTTAAGCATAAGGTTTCACTTGTTAACTGATTAAACAGGATTTTACATCCCTAAAATCATCTGGCCTCATAAAGAGAGACATTTCCAATTCTAATTGTGACACTCTCCCAAATGCTAAGTGGAAATTGTATTGTATGACTTAGAAGCTGAATGGTGAAGTGAATAATAAAAGCTCTAGCTACATGTATTACATTTTTCACATTTAACACACTTTGCATTTTGTTTAAGGCTTAATGAGGAGGCACGCAAACTGATTGCTGAACTTGGAAGCACGTCTATTTCTAACCTTGGTTTTAGAGACAACTGGGTCTTTTGTGGTGGAAAAGGAATTAAGACTAAAAGTCCATTTGAGCAGGTTTGTTGCTAATATAATTTTTTCAGAGTCTTGTAAGTCAGTTGATACTAACCAGGGCTTAGACTATTATTTAAACACCAATCACTGTCTCAATCATATCACAGTAAATATTTAGCATATAAGTTCCACAAATAATTCTTGGAATATTTTACTTCTTTAAATATACAAAAGGATTCTGTGATTATATGAACCTTAGACAAATGATACTCACAATACTTAAATGGTACTTAGATCTACATTAAAACTGATGAACTAAAACTCTGAACATTTGTCATCTGAAGAGGAGAGTTGTGCCCATGAAAGCTCATGATACGATCTATATATATTTGATTAGTCTCTAAGGGTATGTCTACACTACCCCGCTAGTTCGAACTAGCAGGGGTAATGTAGTCATCCGCATTTGCAAATGAAGCCCGGGATTTGAATTTCCCGGGCTTCATTTGTATGAAGCCGGCCGGCGCCATTTTTAAATGCCGGTTAGTTCGGACTCCGTGCCGCGCGGCTACACACGGCACAGACTAGCTAGTTCGGATTAGGCTTCCTAATCCGAACTAGCTGTACACCTCGTTCCACGTACAGCTAGTTCGGATTAGGAAGCCTAATCCGAACTAGCTAGTCTGTGCCGTGTGTCCGAACTAGCCGGCATTTAAAAATGGTGCCGGCCGGCTTCATGCAAATGAAGCCCGGGAAATTCAAATCCCGGGCTTCATTTGCAAGTGCGGATGACTACATTACCCCCGCTAGTTCAAACTAGCGGGGTAGTGTAGACATACCCTAAGGGTACATCTACACAACAGAGCTTAACTCGAAATAAGATACACAAATTGAGCTACGTCAATTGCATAGCTTATTTTGAAATTGAAATTGGGAGCATCTCCATAGCACTTATTTCGAAATAGAGCATTTTTCCTCTGACTTCCCTTACTCCTCGTACGATGAGGGTTACAGGCGTCGGAGTAAGAAGTCCTCCAGGTTGATGGTATTTTAACATTATTTCAAAATAATTGCCTGCTGTGTAGACACAGACTACATTATTTTGAAATAATGTTGCTGTATAGATGTACCCTAAGCTGTTACATGAGCATTGTTGTTTACGTTTTTCTGTAATGTGAACTACATTTTTCTTATTTTTTTTTTTTTAAAGTAGCTATAATATGGTCATGTTCAAGTTCAAGGCAAGTTCAAAAATGACTGTTTGAAGTTCATATTTTAGGCACCTACGTAAATAGCCTAAAATACTGATTACCCAACTGCACTGATTTCAAGTTACTTTTGAAAATAGAACACTTGTTTCAGTGAATGTATATAGACTATGGAGCCTAAATTTAGCATCCAATTTTCCAGATTCATGGCTATTAGCAGATATTCTATTAAGGTCATTACTTTTATATTGTTAATGATTTGGGTTAAGATCTGGGTTGTTTGCAATAGGTGTCATTAGTAAGGGGAAATGATTTATTTTATCTCTAGTTATATCTCAGACCTACAGACTAGCCTCTGGTAAAGGATGTATGTAATTTCTGGACGGAATGGTTTTTTTTATTAATCCAGGCCTGCACAACATGTGGCCTGCAGGGGCTCACTGTGCGGCCCGTGATGACTATGGGCAGCACTGCCCCATCCGATCCACCGGCCAGGCGGAGGAGCGGAGCGCTGCCTGGGAGGGGGAAGTGCAGCGATTCTCGCTGCTGGGTTGCCTGCATGCAGCTCCAGCGTGAGGAGGTGGGGCGTGAACCAGAGGGCGGGACGCTGTCAGACGCCAGGACGCTGGCGTGACGTGGCGGTGTGACGTCACGGCCGGTGACCGGCAGATTCAAAAAGGCTCCAGCAGCTCTGCAAACTGGAAGGCAGAAGCCACGTAGGGGAGGAAAGGGGCTTGTGCTGAGGGGAGGGGGGAAGGTCAGGGAAAAGGTGAAGGCACCAAGGGGCAGGGTGAAGGAGAGACAAATGCCAGGGGGCCCAGTGGAGACAATGAAAAAAGGGCAGGAGGGGAGGTGTCAGTGGGAGGGGGGACAGGGTGATGCTGGGAGAAGAGAGGGTAAGGGCATTGGGAGCCTTATGTTGTGCAGGCCTGATTTAATTGAAAAATTCTTACTATTAAGTATTCACCCCCCTGCCCAAACCTACCCTTTCAGCCCGCAGCTGTTTTCTTTGGAGTAATGTGGCCCTCGCCGCTTTCCGAGTTGTTCAGGCTTGTATTAATCAATAGAAGTCTATCAATATTTGCAATGGTAATAGGACAAATGGTTTTATTTTTAACAATGGATCAATGTTCTCTATTTGTAGCATATAAAGAACAACAAGGATACAAATAAATATGAAGGCTGGCCAGAAGTTGTTGAGATGGAAGGCTGTATCCCTCAGAAGCAAGACTAAAACAAAGATTCAAAACAAACAATGTGAAAGAAAATGCACTTTCTGCTATTATAAGGGAGAGGGCTATGAAGTGTGTAATGTAAATACTTTTGAAGCATGTATGCATCTTGTTGTGTGCACGTGAGCATCGACCTTTTGAGTACCAGGATTATTTATTATTAACACATCTAGAAATTATTTTGTAAATGGGCCTAAAAGAAACAAGACAGGAAATCATTTCTAAATAGTTTTCCTACAGGTGCATCCTTTACTATGCATAGGGTAAATATTCATTGAGATCTACTGAGTAAGCAGTTAAATATCCAGTAAATTCATACAGAAGCATATTGTGCTGTCGTCTAATAATGTAAATGTTACTGTGAGACTGTAACCTTTGTGGAATATGTAGATTTTAGTGAAAAATTAGAGCTTTAATTTTTGTATCTTCTGCCTTTTTAATGGCAGCACCACTTTTTATTAAAGAGCTACTTGGTTAGTCTAATACAAAAGCTTTAGAATTTTGTTTTGCAGTTCCCCAAAAACCCAATAATCAACAAAATAGCATACTTTATATTAAAATGTAGATCCGCCACAAGAAGCACAATTTAAAACATTCTTTATATTAAAACAAAAGTAAATATATAAATACTTGCACCTGATATTTAAAAAATAACTTGAAATTATTTGTATTTAACATGGAAATAGTGTTTACTTTGTAGAAGATACTTGGCTTCATAACACTTCTACAACTGTTTTCTTTTTATTACAATTTTTGTACCAGTTGCCTGACCTGCAGTCTAGATAGTGTTTTTCAGCTGTACTAACTAACTGAATGATAGAGATGGATGATGGATTGCCCTCCTGTTTTAATACTAGCCCTAGGATTTTCTGGCGAGGAAAGCATGTTAGAAAATGGGCTATTTCCTCATAAGAATTAATTTAATATACATAATTATGCACAGCTTTAATATTACTTGTACTAGTTCTTATGTGAATCACGATACCTAATCAGTACTTAGGATAGGATGCTACAGAGTGTCACGTTTTGAGATGTATATCAGTTGGTACTGAAAAATTAGCTCACACTGTTATCTTTATCCCTTTCGGCAATGGATTTTAAAAAACTGGACCAAGTTAAAGTGACCTTATACAATAGCTCATGTAAGAGTAAATAGAAAATCAATCACTTTCTGTAGAAATTTATTTTAAATTACTTATTTTTAGTAGGGCATGGTTAGAACTTTTTCTGAATACAAATTGAGGACAATGAAACTGAGTATCCAGGTGTTCACAGTACAGAGGTTAGAGGAGAATTTTCTATAATCTCTTGGAGTTATATGTTCCTAGTACAAATGGTCAAAATCTTTGAGAAGTACCAGCAAAGGAAAAAGAAGATTCAGGAACTGCAGTAGGAATCACAAATAGTACAACTCAGAATGCCATGTGATCAGTTTCTTCTGAGACAAACTTAAAATAGTTTGCACTAATAACTTTAAAGCAATATAGGGAATGATTACTTTGTTCACAATAATATCCACTTCTACTACAGAAATGAATAAAACTGGAATTTGAATTGTTTTCTATGTTGATATGTAATGTTTTCCTCAAGTTTAATATAGAACAGCAATAAATGCACCTTATACAGTGAAACCATTTCTAAAATGTTGTGCAGGTTTTTAATTATTTGAGAGATTATATCATACACGTCAATACCATGTATATTTTTTCATTAAATAAAGTAAAAATCCCACAGTTCTGTAAACTGGAAATTAACTTTATTTCACAAAGTGAAATTGATCAAGAAAAGGAATATATAAGCTTAGTGTTTAGGTGATGACATAAACATTTATTTTTGTAGTTTGAATACGCCACAATTGAGTATATTGTTTTATATTGTAACATTTCAAAAAAATCTTAGACACAGTACTTAAGGGTGTACAGTTTGTATATGAATAGTCTCTCTTGGCTGTTGTCTTACTAACCTGTATAATACTATTCTGATCTGAGTGCCAGCTAAATATGATATTCATATGGTGCATGTCTATACTACAGACTTGAATTGACCTACATTAGGTTGACTTACAGCTACCACAGTAATTACTCCTCATCAGGAGTGCTTCCACCTACTGAAGACTAGCAGTGCAGGAAGCTGAGAGCCAGGGTTCACAGTTCCCTGATGAGAGCCAGGCTTCCTTCTCTAGCTTCTCACCTCCCCAGTGGGAGGGAAGGAGGGAGGGAGAAGGGCAACTGCCAATGCTTCTCCTATTGCTGAGCTGGATGGGGGGAGTCATGGCAGCAGCCCAGGGGGGAGCCTGTGGGCAGCAGGGCTTCCAGCCGGGAGCATAGCCAGCAACCTGGCTGGGAGTGAGGAGTCAAGGGGGAAAGGGAAGGGCAAATGGACTCTACCTGGAGCCCATCACAAGCCCTGGGCTTTCTTATCAATTTCATGGCTCCAGCTAATATGCAATGTAAGTAACACAGTGACTACACAGGTATTGCATTACCCTAACTACACAGACATAAGCCCTAGGCTTCTTGGGGAGGTGCATTTGTGTCAGTGTAATATGGCCCTTACATTGGCTGTATGAGGCTCTAGTATGTACAGTGACATAAACAGGTTGACATAAGCTGCCTAACATTGATCTAACGCTGTAGTTTAAACAGTCCTAATTTTCATACTAAATTGTCATATTACAATTATATATACTGAATATGGTGTACAAGAAACAGGTTTTAGTAACTGCAGAAGTTTGTGTTCTAATTTGTGCTTTGTGGTTTGAGTCAAGTAATGCAATCTGCATACATTTTTAATACTATTATCACTTAGTCCTAAGGCAAAGAGTGTTTCACAATCTCCTGACAGTTCACACAGATTAAGGTAGAGAGCTGCTTGACTTTGGTGAAGTAATGAATAATGCCTCATGTGACTCCTAAAGATCATGTTTTAAACAATTTGACAGTATTAAAGGTACAACTGCAAATTATTCCACTGCCAAGGAATGATAGTAAAAATAGAGGCTGATATGACTCCATCAGGAGCTCTTTAATTACTTTAAAAAAAATTCTACAAAAAGTATAAGTACAGAGTACAAAAGAATAGCTTAAGTATGGAGGGACAAAATCAGAAAGACTAAGGCACAAAATGAGTTACACCTAGAAAGGAACATAAAAGGCAATATGAAAATGGTCTTCAAATTCATTAGGAGCAAGATGAAGGAAATTGTGGGTCCTCTACTTAACTGGGGAGGAAACTAATAATTGATAACATCAAAAAAGCTGAGCTGTTTAATATCTGTTTTGTTTCAATCTATTTAAAAGGTTAATGGTGACCAGATTCTCAACACGATATTAACAAGGGTG